TCAGCAGGAACTCGATCACACGCTCCACTGTTTCATTTCGACCCCAACAATCGGCCTCACCTACCACAATAATGCTACTACTAAGACAGAATTTATCGGCTATGATGACGTCGATCACGCAGGTGACAAGGACTGCAGGCGCTCTCGCACTGTCTATGTCTATCGCCTAGAGCCCATTGGCACTATTTCCTGGCACTCGGAATAACAAGAAGTAATTGCCCTCTTCTCTGTTGAAGCTGAACATATTGCCCTTTACACAACTACAAAGGAAGGAATTTACCTGCGCGAGCTGCTCGAAGAAGCGAATATTGATGAGTTACCGATCTTCTCCCTCTTCTACGACAACCAATCGGCGATCAGGATTGCCAACAAAAAATGGATTTGCGAACAGGACGAAACACATCTCGCTTCGCTATTTTCTTCATGAAAGACGAGATTGAGCTTGGACAATTCCAGTTCGCCTACTGCCCCACCACCGAAATCGCAGCCGATTACTTAACTAAGAAGCCGATGAAGTCGAAGTTCGATTACTGCATGCTGCTGACTGGGCTGCAACACGTCAGCAACCTCGACCACATCGACACTCCAGAAATGAAGGAGGGTGTTGGAAATAATAAAAAGACTTAAGAGCATTTTTGGAGTCTCGCGTGTTATAGCAATACGCGAAGACCCCAACATCGAGGAGTGACGAAACAAAACCTACTACGGTACTTCCGATGGTTGACACAGGCTGACGACATCTCGCTGGTTACGAAAGGGCAACGGTCGCAGAACGTTGACCGTACAACCCAACTCTCATAAGTACAAGAGTCAAGTCAACGTGACAGCAAAAACAAATAACCGTCTCGGTATTACAGCACGGGTGGTTACCCCAGTCGCTCTTATCGAGTCGTGCATAAACAGTAAGACTCTTCATATTCTCTTGTACTATTTTATAAACCTTGTATCCCTTTGCTATAATCAATCACTAGTTCTAACATACCAGTACAAGGGCTCACTCAAGACTTCCGCTATGCTATCAAACACTTTTTTACAGGGAGTTAGTATTCTGAAAAGATCCGAGGGATATTCTCCGCCCAACAACTCCGATGGTTGCAATTAGGCTTCGGCTCACTCTAGAACATAGATGGCTCGCAGGCCGTCTGATGAAAATCTGCTACAAATCGACAGCTGAAATGCGCAGTGCTCAGCAAGTCCCAAACAACCCAACACACTTTACTTGAAACACATCCCTCAGCGACGACAGGTGAAAGGACAAGAAAATTTCCAGTCGCCAATGAATTTTGGCATGTGACACCAACAAGGAATAGTCCTAAACTCGGTCGGTCACTCGAAACATACCTCTGTTTGGAAATCGTTGGTCAGCACTCGAGCTCGTTTGACGGCCCATGCTTGGTTGCAATCATGGGAGGACAAGCTCTTGTACACATCCCCAAAGCTGCCACTTCCTATCCTGCCCAGTTTCCCGTGGCCGCAGCCAGCTCTGCCAGGGAATACTCCCGGCACACATTCGGCCGTGTTGCTTCAATGAAGATTATCAAAACAGAAGATGACAGATTGGGACTGGGTTGACATCACGTATTTTTTTAAGCAGCCTAAACAGTTGCTCGACCTCACATTATCCCATACGTGGACTGTAAAGGAACTAAGAGCACTTTGGACGTGACCTCAGGTAACTAGCACACCGCATAGTGAGTGTTACGAAAATGACACCCCTCACAAGCACAAAGAAACAGTAACGTTCTTGAAGCAAGGTTTCTTGGTCCCAAGAAAAAAGGCTGGTTGCGCCACAAGACCGCAAGGTGTATGAGATTGCTAATGCAGTCAGGAATGTGGCTTTTCAGATTGTTGTTATCAAGCGATCTAGTATGGGGGATGCAGAAGGGTAATTGAATGGATGAACTCAAGACAAGAGACGAGACGGAAATATTACACTGATGTCATACTCAAGTGTGCGAATACATATATAACATTGAAATTCTGTACGGAAATTTGGGCGTCTTGTGGCGTGTCTGCTTGTGGTCTGGTTGTCACAACCAGGTTGTGGCTTATTTGTGAATCACGACAGATACAAACAAAACTCATAGCTGCATAAGGTTACGAGGCTTGCTGACAGAGTCAGGAATCGAGCCGGCAAACAAAGTTGCTGAAAATCTCTCTAATGAGTTAGGGGAATGAAACGGGTTGAGGACAACCATATGGGAGGAAGGAATGAATGGGGACATGGTCAACAACAAGTGTGCATGCAACAGGCATGTGTGCGGCAGGTGTGTGTGCGGCATGAGAAACATCCAAATTGAAATGTCTGCAACAGATTTGCGCCTACGCTTTGTGAGGCACCTAAAAAACCGTCGCATGTTTTCAGCCCCTGACGAAGCATCTCAATTGTGCAACATGAGTAGGGCCAGGGGGAGGGGATCTGGTCAGGTTTGCGCCAATGGTTTTTGTGTCATTTAAGGTGCCTCGCACCATAGGCTTCCATAAATCACACCAAAATTTTATTGGCCGAACTTTGACACTTGCCTAACACAACGCTGAGTCCATAACTCATGTCGTGACTAGGTCGCGGTGTACGTGCCGTGAGAAAAAATCCTGATTTTTTTTGGAGACGTTCTACATCCTAGAACAAGGTAGCTTATGCAACTTTAACAATATCAGGTTGTTGTCATACAAGTGTTTTTTTATTTCGTCATATCACAAAATTTCCTGACTTTTTTTGAAGAACCCTAGGGTGCATTGTCCGGGGGTTTACGCTAGAAGCGGCACCTCTTCTCGCAAGAGCAACAGCAGCAGTAGCAGTGATGAGGGGTCTGGCAGGTGTTGAGATGGTGGAAATATAAGCAGGGCTCAACTCCTCTGCTGCCCACATGCTGTTGGAGCATGCACTACATTTTATCGTAATTTTCCGCATGGTATCCGCATGTTCCGTAGGTTGCCTTCTAACGTAGCCTACCTCCTGGTATCCTCCATGGCAGGGTTAACCTTCTCTAGCTTCTAGCATTGCGTACCCTCTCTCAACCTTTTTAAGCAGTTCTTTCTGACGGGCACGCTAGGGGCCGGCGGACGCGCTAGGAGCCGGTGAGGCGCGGTAGGCTAGGGCGGGGGGCGGAAACGGGTGGGCGGACCTAACCTACTCATGATACCATGTTAGAATACTAGAAATAAGTAGAAACAAGAGAGTACAAGGAAGATATAGGGTTGGAGATGTACTCTCTAAGAACCAAAACCTATATAACCTATAACTTCTACATATAAGCATATGTATAGGTTGACAACGATGCCCTCGTAGCCTAATCGACTAGGGGGAAGGAAGCATATTCTCTTGTAGGTCGTACACTACTTTGTGCAAAGCATATATAGTTTATGGGTTTGTCTATAAGTCTCTAGAATAGGAATGTTTTGATTATAGTGATTCCTGTAAACCCCTGAATATACAGAACTAAGTTATGTATACCAAATGCGAAAAAACATCTCGCGCGACTGTAGAAGTTCTTATGTTTCATTTATTTTTGTTATGGCAAGAAGTAGAAGCACGGTTGGCATGCCATGCCGCGATCAAACGCACCTCACGCGAGATTTTTCGTTGGCAATGTCACTCGACGAACAAATTCGTAACCGTTTGAGATGCACTTTATGCAGGGTGATTGGACGTCGTTGCACTCCGTCTTCGCCAATGCTTTTCGCTGCGAATCTTATGTCACCTCCGAGTTCACCTCACCCGCCAGGCAATCCTTCTTGGTCGGCCCCTCCAGTGAATGTTTTTCCTTCCTTGACCACCAAATCCCTCTCATTTACACACCAGTGTCTGTTTCTCCAGTGTCTTGTCACAAGATTCTCGCCTTCGCTTCCCTCGTAGAAGTTTCTCGGGAAAATTACCGCCACAGACTGTCCATGAATCTTTTCATACTTTCGTGGACAGCCCCAACTTTCACGGACACCACATCAACCTTTCGCTTCTCCCCTGGACTCCGTCCCTACTTTCATGGACATCCGCCTTAATTCCATGGACAATGTCCAAATTGCGGGAAATAGGCGAAAAATCAACTGTACAAAAGATGACAGGCGCTTAAAAAAAAAAAAAAAAAAAAAAAAAAAAACAGCAGCTCAGCGTGCGTCGCAAAGAGTCGCCTCTACAGTATTTCCATCAATCGTGACCATTTCATGAGCAGACAAGGCAATGCCACATCAGCAATGCTGTGGAAACATTTCCGAAGCCTGCGGAAAGTTGAAATGTGAGGAAGCCTGGCGAATAAGGCGGGGGCTAACCCCTCATACTATTAGAGTTTCTCCAGCATACTCACGCTGCCTCACACGCCTGTCTCTATGTAATATAGATAGACTTATACAGAAAGGTAGCTACGTACAGACCAAGACCTGTTCAGTTATTTATCAGCGGGAATAATAGTTCAGTTTTTACAATGTCAGTGCACGACGCCCAGATGGAGATGCTTGCAGCAACTCTTGAGGCAATGGATTCTGATCCATCTCCAGAACCGCAATGCAATGTAGACAGCAATGCCCCCATAGAAATCGGGAACTTTTACACGTCTAAGGAGGCCGTAATCAATGTCCTTCATGATTTCGGTTTTGCGCATCGCTTTGGTTTCGCTATGAGTTATAGCAAGCCAACCCGGGCTAGGGCAGTGTGCAAATCGTCTAAAGAATGTGGTGGCAAAAAATGCCCGTGGGAGTGCACTTTTAGTGTCTGCCGTATGGGGGGCTTTTGGTTGGTAAAGAAGTGAAGTCATGCGAGTGTGCACACCTGTGACTGGCCAGACAGGGAACGCTACGTGAAATCCATGGCGAACAACGTAAAATTCCTCGAACGCTTGTACGGAGCACTTGTCAGAGGGGCGCCGTTTCTCGCTCCACGTGAGTACATCGACCAGATCGTGGCAACTGGGGGCCACCTGTCAAGTATCAACAAGCATACATGTGCGATTGACTTGGCGTTTCAAATGTCACCAGTTATACTATGTACTTCCCAAATACCTTGATAGCCATGGTTTGAATGCAGGTCAGTTTCAGCCCTTCTCGATCCATTCCCGTCCACTAAATATATTGAAGGATAATATCGTTACTCAACGGTTTGGCAGCTGGAGAGACTCCTTCACCAGAGACGTTTGAAGCTTATTGATCCGGGTGCCACTGTCAGGCTGCAAACTTATCAGCATCAATTAAAACGTTTCTTTGTAGCCCCTTCCACAACCAGAGAGTCTCTAAAGTGTTGCCGTCCGGTAGTTGCCCTTGATGGAACGTTCTTGCTTTCTGCTCAATGTGCAACGCTCCTCATCGCAACTTCATTGGATCGTAACAACAACATCATTATTCTCGCCTTCGCACTGGTTGAAGGTGAGAATTTTTGTAGCTGGAGGTGGCTTTTGGAGTGCTTCAAAAGCCACTTTCCTGACAAGTTAGGCGAGGATGATGCGTCTGTGATTAGTGACAGGGACAAAGGTCTTGTTCCTGCTGTGAAGGAAGTCTTCCCCTCACTCCCGCATTACTTTTGTTCGTGGCACTTGGAGCAGAACCTGACAAGGTTCGGTCCAAATGCCGTTGACCTATTTAGAAAACTCCAAGACTGCAGGTCAGAAAAGAAGTGGGAGACCTATGTAAAGGTGGCTAGAGAACGGTTTCCAAACTTCACGGCATACCTACTGGGTACACCGAGTGTTCACACCGACTTCCCACGCAACAGTCAGGGGACGAGACGTGTACGAAGGCGTGTGCCAACAACAGGCGGCCTGGGATCAACCAGAAATCAGCCAACTGCTCATGAACCCTCGGAGCATTCGCCACAGTCTACGCGGCAGCAGCAACAGTATGCTGGCAGTGTTCGACAGCAGCCACACCGACAGCAGGGTCGCCTCCAGCAGCGGGGCCAGCAGCAGCGGCGGCATGGGCAGCAGCAGCAACCGGGGCAGAGTGGGCAGCAGATTGGGCTGTCTGAGCAGCAGCAGCAGCAGCAGCAGCAGCAGGGCCAGCAGCAGCAGCAGGGGCGACAGCAGCAGGGCCAGCAGCAGCAGCCGGGGCAGTGTGGGCAGCAGGCAGGGCAGTCTGAGCAGCAGCAGCAGCAGCAGCAGCAGCAGAAGCAGAAGCAGCAGGGCCAACAGCAGCAGGGACAGCAGCAGCAGCAAGGCCAGCAACAGCGGGGCCAGGATTCACATCAGTGGCACAGACAGCAGGAGCAGCAGAGTGGGCAGCAAGCAGGGCTATTTTGGCAGCAGCAGCGCCAAGGTGGGCAGCAGCAACAACAGTTGCGACAGCAGCACCAGCAACAACAGGGTGGGCAGTGGGGAGGGCTGTTTGGGCAGCAGCAGCAGGGTCAGGGGCAGCAGGACCAAGGTGGGCCGCAGCAGCAGCAGGGGCAGCAGCAGCAGGTACCGGGTGGACAGCAGCAGCATGGACAACTGCAGCAGCAGGGTCAGCGTAGGCCGTGGCAGCAGGGACAGCAGCAACATCAGCAGCGGGGTGGGCAGCAGGGAGGGCTGTTTGGGCAACAACAGCAGGGTCAGCGTAGGCAGCAGGGTGAGCAGCAGCAGCAGTGGGGTGGGCAACAGGCAGGACTGTTAAGCCAGCAGCAGCAGCATGGTGGGCAGCAGGCAGGGTTGTTTGAGCAGCAGCAGCAGGGACGACAGCAGCAGCGCCAGGGTGGGCAGCAGCAGCAGGGTCAGGGGCAGCAGAACCAGGGTAGGCAGCAGCAGCAGGGTCAGGGGCAGCATAACCAGGGTAGGCAGCAGCAGCAGGGTCAGGGGCAGCAGAACCAGGGTGGGCAGCAACAGCAGGGTCAGCAGCAGCAGGGTCAGGGGCAGCAGAACCAGAGTGGGCAGCAGAAACAGCAGGATCAGGGGCAGCAGAATCAGGGTAGGCAGCAGCAGCAGCAGGGTCAGGGGCAGCAGAACCAGGGTGGGCAGCAGCAGCAGCAGGGTCAGGGGCAGCAGACAAGGGAGCCTCCAAAGTCCAGAGTGATTGGAGCTAATGTGGGGTGATGTATGTGAAAATTGTTATGAGTACCCAAAGATAGTTTCATTGATTGGGTCATAGGGTACATCCCAATATTCGTTGCTTCCTACTCCTGAGCTGGCAGCTGGCCAAGGCTGCTTGGAGAAAGGTTCTTCTCCAGGGCCCGGAGTTTCCGTGATGACTGCTCGTGTCGTTGACGAAGTTGCCGAGTTGGATGCATCCGAAGAAGGAGTTCGGGATTTTTGCAGCTTCTTGTAGACCCCCAGCTTCCTTTTGAGCTGCTTCAGCTCCACCGACGTTTTCCCTGGGGAACGGGTAGTCGCTGTGGGCTGGTGTCGGGAGAGGACGTTGACTCCGTGGAAAGGTCGGCTTCTTTCTACACTCCTTAATTTGGTCCCCAAGTTCTCCAGTACTGGTACAATCTCCACAATTTTCTGCTGCTTCTAGAGTCCCTCCCGAAATTTCTCCAAGGATCTAGCCCTTCGAGAATTACAAGTTTTCATTAAAGCATCTTTGTAAGATAACTTTAACGAATCCTTATAATTTCTTGGGTCTTCAAGGAGTTTCCCCGTCTTGGCAGAGTCCTTTTTCGCGGAGTTAGATTTTTCCTCGGCAATTTCCTCTGGCAAGGACTGGTCGTGGGGTGGAGATTTTTCCCCATCATTTTTTCCAGTTCGCGTCGAATCAGCTGCGTCGAAATTGATTTTTCCGGAAGTCCACGGCCGCTTTCGGATCTTTTCTATTTCGCCAGCTAGATCCGCAATCACTAGCGAGTCCCATTTTTTGGCTTCTGATTGGCCGAAGGATTTCCGCCACTGTTGCGTGCCCGATACTCAGCGTGTGCGGCTTTCATTTTGTTGCAGTCGAAGATTCGATGACCCGGCACCCTGCAGAAATCACACGTGTAGTTGGTGTTTTTCGGACATGGCCGCCCTTCGAAACTGTCGACTTCCATCGGGTCGGCGAACGTGGTGTGAGCCGAGCGGTTGCCCTGTCGCGTACTGCCAACGTGCGTCCGTCGTGTCCCGGCGTTGACCATGTCGTAGCGTTCCGCGGCCGATACGACGTCACTGTAGCTCGCGTAGTTTGTCGCTGCCACTTGTCATTTGACTTCGGTCTTCAGCCCGGCGAGGTACGATTGTACTTATTCCCCTTTCGGTCAGGTCGGGAATGCGGTTATAAAATTCCTCCATCTGCTGCGTGTACTGCGCTACACTCCCGAACTGTCGATGGCGATGAATTTTTTCCCGGGCAAGGAAACCCGAATTTATCGGCTCGAAATGTTTCAGCAGGTCTGTGCGGAACTGCTGCCACGTGGCTTCGCCGTGGATGAAGGTGCTGTTACCGCCGATCCACTCGAGTGCCGGCCCTTGCATCAGTGTCGCCGCGAGTCGTACGTGTTGACCGTCCCAGGCTGGCAAGCTCCATCCGACGACTGCGAAGTAGATCTCCATGCCGGCGACCCATCTACGGACGTCGGAGTTTCGATCGCTCGGATCGAACGGCTCAGGTGGGCGCGGTTTGGGAGCCTCGAGAAACTGCTGTAACTGCTGCGTCGTCGCCGTTGTTGTTTCGTGTTGCGCGCCGGTGAGTCGAGTTACTCGCTCGAACTCGTTTTGCCAAGCTTCGCGGTCGGCTTGCATCTCCTCCTGTAGGGCTGCGATGCGCGCGAAGAGCTGCTGGGTAACTTCGGCGTTGTCGAAGTTCGCCATCCTGTTCAAAACATGCGCGGAGGGGGTAATTCAAAAAAAAGTGGAGCTGGTGCTTACCAGAATCGGCGTCGAATTGGTCGCCCCTGTTGGTTTTTCGAGGCAGGAGTCCCTCTGCTGCTGCTTAGCTGAGCGCGGCCGAGTGAGAAAAGCTCTGATTACCAAGTGTCACAGGATCGAATGTGTCGAGGAAAGGCTGTACTATCGATTGATACAAGGCACTTTTATAGTTCCAAAGTACATCAGGTAACCAAGTTTATCTTATCCCAAGGGAATAGACCCTTCTAGAAAATAGAATCACCCTGCGTATAGCCACGCGAGGCTATTGGCTTTAAGGGATTACGGAAGGATTACGCTAGATATAGCGCACCAGTACATCCCGAGCCTGGTCGGTGATATAAGGATAATAACAGGATAACCCAAAGGTTTATGGAAAAGGAGTTGTAGGAATCCAAATGGAATGAGATAAAAACCAAATGGATCAAGATGGAAAGAGGAATGAAATGGAAAGGAGAAAGGAATGGAAAGCGACTGCTAAACCCGTCACCCTCAGACACCTGGGAAGACGTCCCGACCGGGGGGGACGCGGTGTCTAGCGTGAACAGGTCAGACACTGGGTCCCGGGGGAACGTGGTGAGGGGAGCACCAGTGGCGGCCTCGGTACAGACGGTGTACCGCTTGTGACTAGGGAACGTAGTGGTGACGCCAAGGTCCTGGAGGCAGCCGACACCAACTAGGTTCCTAGAGAACAAGGGGATGTGCAGGCCTGTAAGAGAGCCCAAAGGAACCGTCGGACATAGAAGGGTAGTGGAGCTACGGGCAACTACATGACCTGGGTACAGGTCGGCAAGGGAGACTGCGGCCGGAGCGGCGAGCAGCGTTAGTGTAGTGGAGTCCCGAAAGAAGCACCAGGAAGCGCCGGAGTCAAGGGTAAAGGAGAGCGCTGCCATGGCAGCAGGAGCCGAAGAAGCCAGGGAAGAGCCTTGGCTAAACAAGGCTGGGGATCCTACGCTTGATGCAGTAGGGGAGTCTGAGCTAGGCACACCTACTTTAGGCAACAAGGGGTAAGAGAAACCAGTCACACTAGAGTCATAAACATATAGCACATACAAAGTAGAACTAATCTCGTCCATGTCCATATCAAAGATCTGAACACCTTGGCGGAGCCAACTGAGCCAGTCGGGGAGGTTGGGCGACGGGCCGAAGCGGAGACGAAACAGGTCGTCCAGGTGACGGAAACAACGGGTGGGGGTGTGACCGATCTTTCCTCACAGGAGGCTACAGCAAGGACCGGTCTGGAGCTAAAACGGGCAGCGCCCATCACTCGAACCACCACCCGACACCACGCTGCGCGCACGACCACTGCGAACGCCGCCACCACCAGCGCCAGGCCACCCGGGCGGGAGGCCAACCCTCCTCTGCTGCTGGTGCAGTGGCTGCTACTGCTGCTGCTGCTGGTTCGGCGGCAACACCTGCTGCTGCTGCTGGGGTGGCTGCTCGGCGGCACCAGCCCCAGTCCCCTCGTCAGCACTACCACCGGGCGATCGGACTCCACCATCGCCGCCACCGCTACCACCGACGCGCCCAGCCTTGGGGCGGCGACCCTTCCCCGAACGGAACTGCGCTGAAGCAGCTGTCTCAGCCACTGCAGCAGAGCCGTCAGAGAAAGTGCACTGAGCGGGGGCACAATCCTGAAAGATAGCGACCGGCAGAGTACCGCTAGGCTGGGCGATAGAGCGATGGCGGGTCTCTATGGCAGACAGGGTGTCGACAAAGTCAATGAGGGTGAGGTCACCGGGTTGGAGACTAAGAAAGTGATCCCATGTGGTAGCAAGATGGTCAAGGAGGTGGGTGGCAAGCAGGTAGAGGGTAGTGCAGATGGGCGGCTGAAAGGCACGAAGCTGGGTCTCAGTGCAAGCAGCGCGCCAGGTCACGTTGAGCGTGCACAGGTGAGCGGCCAGGTCAGCGACAGTGGGGAAAGTCGCGAGATCATGGGCAGGATTAGACGATCGACAGAGGCAGTGGGCGGGGTGGAATGGAGCGTGACAACAGTCTCTAGGAACTCCTGCGCAGCCGTGGCCGACCTAAAGCGGGGGCTCTCAGACAGGGGGAGGGCATGACTGATCGTGAGCTGTGTGACGTCGTCACACGACAACCAGACTGAGCGGGCAAGGGCAGCAGCGGCAGCGGACTCACGGTCAGCAGACGAGGGGTCAGTGGGCAGAGCAGCTGGGAGGTCAGAGCAGGGAAGCGTACCGTTGAGGGTGACTACGAGGGAGTGGAGTGAGGTGCAGCGCAGTACAGAGGGTCGGCTGCACGTCAGGGGCAGCTGGGCGATAGGGCCAAGCGTGCAGAACGGGCTGGCGCGGGCCGGCCACGGGACGGGGACTGGCCGGCGACGGAACGGGCGCAGGTCGAAAAGCGCACCGGTCGAAAAGCGCACCGGTCGAAAAGCACACCGGTCCAAAAGCGCACCGGTCCAAAAGCGCACCGGTCGAAAAGCGCACCCGGTCGAAAAGCGCACCGGTCGAAAAGCGCACCGGTCGAAAAGCGCACCGGTCGAAAAGCGCACCGGTCGAAAAGCGCACCGGTCGAAAAGCGCACCGGTCGAAAAGCACACCGGTCCCAAAAAGCGCACCGGTCGAAAAGCGCACCGGGTCGAAAAGCGCACCGGTCCGAAAAAGCGCACCCGGTCGAAAAAGCGCACCGGTCCAAAAGCGCACCGGTCGAAAAAGCACACCGGTCGAAAAGCGCACCGGTCCAAAAGCGCACCGGTCGAAAAGCGCACCGGTCGAAAAGCGCACCAGTTCGAAAAGCGCACCGGTCCGAAAAGCGCACCGGTCCAAAAAGCGCACCGGTCCGAAAAGCGCACCGGTCGAAATGCGCACCGGTCGAAAAGCGCACCGGTCGAAAAGCGCACCGTTCCCAAAAGCGCACCGGTCGAAAAACGCACCGGTCGAAAAGCGCACCGGTCCGAAAAGCGCACCGGTCCAAAAACGCACCCGGTCGAAAGCGCACCGGTCGAAAAGCGCACGGGTCGAAAAGCGCAACGGTCGAAAAGCGCACCGGTCGAAAAGCGCACCGGTCGAAAAAACGCACCCGGTCGAAAAAGCGCACCGGTCGAAAAGCGCACCCGTCGAAAAGCACACCGGTCCAAAAGCGCACCGGTCGAAAAGCGCACCGGTCGAAAAAACGGCAACCCGGTCGAAAAGCGCACCGGTCGAAAAGCGCACCGGTCCAAAAGCGCACCGGTCGAAAAGCACACCGGTCCAAAAGCGCACCGGTCGAAAAGC